TTTTATTGATTTCAGAGAGGAAGGGAGAGGGAGATAGAAACATCAATGATGAGAGAGAATCATGGATCAGCTGCCTCCTGCTTGCCCCCTACTGGGGATAGAGCCATCCACCTGGGTATGTGCCCTGACAGCGAATCAAATTGTGACCTCATGGTTCATAGGTCAATGCTCAACCAACTGGGTGCAAACATGATTCTTGGGGTGTAAGATTTGGGGCATCTTAGAAGAGAAACATTTTTGCAACGAATCCCAAAGGAATATGCATGCATTGGGACTAACACAGATGCCCAAAGCTTATAATTTTATTTGTTATATAGGTCCTTTTTTATTGTTTCAGGCAAACTCCTTGCTGCCATTGATGATTTGGGGCTGAGGAATCACACGCTTGTCTACTTCACGTCAGACCACGGGGGACATTTGGAGGCCAGGCTGGGCCACGCCCAACTGGGTGGATATAATGGGATATTCAAAGGTGAGCAGGGAAGATCGTACCTGGGGTGTCCTTGTGACTACGGTAACTTGTTCATTGTAATGCAAGATCCGTGGCATGAAACACGAGATGAATGATGCATGAAACACTCAACAAGATGATTGTTTATTGGACGCTTGGTCAAAACTAAAGCGTAGGGTCCCAAACCCAAGGATATTGACCTTAAATCGCTAACATTTCTAGACAATATTCTAGACAAGGGCCTCCCTGATAGTCCAATGCGTGAAAGAGTGTTCACATAAGCAGATGACATGAGGGAGGCATTAAATGAGTCGAATATCTAATCATTGATTCCATCCACAAGATGGAATAAGAATAAGAAGAAATGTGGTCTACAGAGAGGGCACATAGAAGTCTCCTTGGACGTTAAGAAAGCTTTGGGTTCCCTTTCCCAGAGATATGGCCAAGCTTCTCTGAAGTTTTTTAATATATTTTTTATTGATTCAGAGAGGAAGGGTGGAGGAGAGAGAGAGAGAGAGAGATAGAAACATCAATAATGAGAGAAAATCATTGATTGGCTGCCTCCTGCCTACCCTCTACTGGGGATCGAGCCCACAACCCCGGCATGTGCCCTGACTGGGAATTGAACTGTGACCTCCTGGTTCATAGGTCGACATTCAACCACTGAGCCACGCTGACCAAGCTCAGGCTTTACCATGAAATTCACAATACCGATTCCATGTCCTCTTGGAACACGTCATCCGTGGAAACATATCCATGAGCCACCACATTGGCCCGTTCTAGTAACCTGTTTCCTGATGTTATAAGAAGATGACCTGCAACCCGTTCAGCACATTTGAACCTCTGATCTGAAGGAGACTCTACAGCACTTTGTAGAGACACATGGATTATTATTCATGCAAATGTGGGTTTTATTGTCTTGCGTCCAGCAGGAAATGACTCCTGGATGAATGAGATGAAATCTTTGAGTCACTCTCGCCAAAGGGTGTGAGAGTCTGCAGCTTAGGGCTTGTGCAACCAAATGGTGTGCTTTGGAAGGGAATAAATCATAAGGAAAATTTTATAGTTTTGCTTATGAGAACTTTAAAAAATATTTCCAGTCCTGGCTGGTTTGGCTCAGTGGATAGAGCGTCGACCTGTGGACTGAAGGGTCTCAGGTTTGATTCTGGTCAAAGGCACATGCCTGGGTTGCGGGCTCGATCCCCAGTAGGAGATGTGCAGGAGGCAGCCGATCAATGATTCTCTCTCATCATAGATGTTTCTCTCTCTCTCTCTCTCCCTCTCCCTTCCTCTCTGAAATCAATAAAAATAAAATATTAAAAAAAGAATGCTTTAAATAATATTTCCATGTCTGCTCTGAGTAATGTAATGTACAGGCTATTTATAAGAGTTTATTCGAACCCAACGGACAATGCATGTTGTTGAGCAAGATCTGAAATGCAGCTTCATGTAAGCATGTGAAATGAAACGAAACAAACCTTACATTTTCTTATTTTTTAATATATTTTATTGATTTTTTTACAGAGAGGAAGGGAGAGGGATAGAGAGTGAGAAACATCGATGAGAGAGAAACATCGATCAGCTGCCTCCTGCACACCTCCTACTGGGGATGTGCCCGCAACCAAGGTACATGCCCTTGACCGGAATCGAACCCGGGACCCTTCAGTCTGCAGGCCGACGCTCTATCCACTGAGCCACACCGGTCAGGGTGAACGTTACATTTTCAAACAGTGTTATCACGGTGACTATCTTCACTGGGACTTCATTGCTTTGCCCCGTAGGAGGCAAAGGCACGGCCGGTTGGGAAGGCGGGATCCGGGTGCCCGGACTTTTCCGATGGCCCGGAAAATTGCCCGCCGGAAACGTCATTGATGAACCTACCAGCTTGATGGATATCTTGCCAACGGTAGCGGCGTTGACCGGAGGCATCGTCCCTCAGGACAGGTGATGCCATGTAATCTGTTAATGGAGCTTTTCTTTACCTTTATCTTGAGAAGATTCAGGTCCAGGGAGATAAACTCTATCCTAATGGGTACATTTTCTCCGCGGAACCCAGGTAATTTCCACCTTTGTCTAGGGCTGTATCTATTGACGGTTGCTCATACACCGGGCATCAACGTTATAGTCCTATGGCCCGTCTCAATCACTTTGTAGCTTTTTTTGGGAGGAAGATGGAGACAGGAAGGCTTGGAGATGAGAATATGACCAATCAAACTCACTCGTCCACATACGAGGAAGAATAATTCCCTACTGACTGGTGTCCCAGGTGCAGAAGGCTGGGGTGAAGGCCAGACCTTCGGTGGATATTTTGAACTGTGTCACAAATATTTTAAACTAGAGGCCCGGTGCACAAAATTCGTGCACAGAGACAAAGAGTTCCTCAGCCCAGCCTGCACCCTCTCCAATCCGGGACCCCTCGGAGGATGTCCGACTGCAGGTTTAGGCCCGATCCCTCTCACAATCCAGGACTGCAGGCTCCTAACTGCTCACCTGCCTGCCTGCCTGCCTGCCTGATCGGCCCTAACCACCTCTGCCTGCCGGCCTGATGCCCCTAACTGCTCCCCTGCTGGTCTGATTGCCCTTAACTGCCCTCCCCTGCCAGCTTGATCACCCCTAACTGCTTTCCCCTGCTGGCCTGATTTCCCCCTAACTGCTCCCCCCTGCCGGCCTGATAGCCCCCTAACTGCCCTCCCCTGCTGGCCTGATCGTCCCCTAACTATTCCCCACTGCCAGACTGATCGCCCCTAACTGCTCTCCCCTGCCGGCCTGATCACCCCAACCTGCTGTCCCCTGCCAGCTTGATTGCCCCTAACTGCTCTCCCCTGCCGGCCTGATCGCCCCTAACCACCTCTGCCTTGGCACTTGCCACCATGGCTTTGTCCGGAAGGTGTCTGGCCTAATTAGCATATTACCCTTTTATTAGTATAGATGGCATTCTATTGCCTTGTTCCCCTCTCTGGTCACTGTTGACCTAGGTAGGTTTGAATCTGCTTTTCTGGTTCTTCATGGATAACAGCTCTAAAAGGGAATTCAATAGATTCAACCTATTTTCACTTCTTCCTTCTAAGCCCAGAGTTATGTTAATATTTCTTTCTTTGTATATTAAAGATGATCTACTTTTGAAAAAAAAACAAACCAGAATCCCAAGCTCATTAGAATAAAAAGGAGGCCTCTATAATTTTTTTTTTAACATCGGTTTCAGCCAATAATAGAATATACAGGGAGTTCGCTTAAAATAACTGAATGGAGCGCCCTACGTGCAACGGTATTTATCAAGTTGAGCTAAAAGATCCACTAAAAAAAGACAATAATGTTAGTGCACATGTCATTTTTACTAAGTTACTAAGCCAACCGGAGTCATAAAAATAATTGTCTGAGATATTCGTGGGGTGCGTTGGTTGACTTTGGGGCGATGGTTGCTCCTACCTACTCAGCACACTGTTCTCCGGGCCCACGGAAGGTCATGGAAGGTCATGGGATGCACTGAGCATCCTTCCAACAGCCTCATGACCAAATGCCTTCGCCTGACCTACTTCCTGTGTGTCTACAGGGTGATTGACGGCCGAAACCTCATGCCATTGCTTCAGGGCCAGGTCCAGCGTTCAGAGCACGAGTTCCTGTTTCATTACTGCAGTAGGTTCCTCCACGCCGCCCGTTGGCGCCCGAAGGACAGTAAGTACCCCGGCCCGTGCACCCAACAGATGCCCAGACTAGGGTCCCTTTAGTCTCTGTGATTTCTTCATTTTAATCCCTTAGCCCAGTCCCTGTAGTCGAGCGTCAGCACTGAAAATACCTTCTCTGGAAAGTTTCTAAGAATTGCTCTCCTTCAGAAGGACAGAGAGACAACTTTAAGAAATATCAACGTTGAGAAATGCTCTCTTTTTTATAACTTTTTTAAATATAATTTTTTAAATCGATTTCAGAGAAGAAGGGAAAAGGGAGAGAGAGACAGAAACATCCATGATGAGAGGGAATCATGGATCGACTGCCTCTTGAACGCCCCCTACTGGGGATCAAGCCCACAACTGGGGCATGTGACCGTGACCGGAATCGAAACCAGGACACTTTGGTCAGCAGGCTGATGCTCTATCCACTAAGCCAAGAATTGCTTTCTTTGTTAGTTTATGTTGTTCAGTAGATTCTACATATAAGTCCGATCGTATGATACTTGTCTTTCTCTGACTGGCTTATTTCGCTTAGCACCATGCTCTCCAGGCCCCTCCACGCGGCCTCAAAGAGTAAGAGATGCTTTTTCATGGCTGCATAGTATTCCACGGCATAAATGCACCACAGCTTTTTAAAATCCACTCGGCTACCGATGGGCACTTGGGCCGCTTCCCATTCTTGGCTAAATCGAGACGGACTCCCAGATACAGAGAACAGACAGACAGCTGTCAGAGAAGAGAGGGTTGGGGGCTGGGTGAGACGGGTGAAGGGACTAAGCAAATAAAAAAAAAGAAAAGAAAAACCCATGGACACAGACAACAGCTATGGGATTGGCAGGCGGAAGTGGGGTGGAGGGAGGTAGGAGAAGGTAGAGGAGGCATAAATGGTGATGGAGACTTGAGTTGGGGTGGTGAACACACAATACAATATACACATGATGTTTTATGGAATTGTGCACGTGAAACCTCGTAATTTTATTAACCAACTAGAGGCCCGGTGCATGGAGTCATGCACATTAAAAGGAAATTAATTAGAAGGAATATTTTAGAGGCCGGGGAGGGACCTCGGGAGGGCTCCAGGGCGTGTCCGGCCCGTCTCGCCCAGTCCCGATCGGCCGAACCCGAGCAGCAAGCTAACCTACTGGTTGGAGCGTCTGCCCCCTGGTGGTCAGTGCACGTCATAGCGATTGGTAGACCAGTCGGTTGTCTGCCTCCTGGTGGTCAGGGCACATCATAGCGACTGGTCAAACGGTCGAACGGTAGGAGGAACACTTAGCATATTAGGCTTTTATATATATAAATGTCACCCCAATACATTCAATTAAAAAAAAAAGTTAGAAACATCAATATTGAGACCTGGGACATTATTATCCTAAGGCAGTGGTTCTCAACCTTCCTAACGCCCTGACCCTTTAATACAGTTCCTCATGCTGTGGTGACCACCCAACCATAAAATTATTTTCGTTGCTACTTCATCACTGTCATGTTGCTACTGTTATGAATCGTCATGTAAATATCTGATATGCAGGATGGATTTTCATTGTTACACATCGAACATCATTAAAGCACAGTGATTAATCACAAAAACAATATGTAATTATATGTGTGTTTTCCGACGTTCTTAGGCGACCCCTGTGAAAGGGTTGTTCGACCCCCAAAGGGGTCGTGGCCCACAGTCTGAGAACCGCTGTCTAAGGCATTCTGATGTTCCGATGCTCTGAAGATTGGCTGGTATTTAAGTTAACGTGTGGACAAAGAGAAAGAGCAGAGAATGCCCACGAAGGCAGAAGACGACCAAGTTGATGGGCACACGGGCTGGGTGCCTCAATGGGCACACGGGCTGGGTGCCTCTGACGTCTCCTTTCCTCTCCAGGCGATGCCATGTGGAAGGTTCACTACGTCACCCCCATCTTCCAGCCGCCGGGAGCTCAGGCCTGCTACGAGACCACCTACTGCCAATGTATCGGGGACAACGTCACCTACCATGACCCTCCCCTGCTGTTCGACCTCTCCCAGGACCCCTCGGAGTCCACCCCGCTGACCAAGGACACGGAGCCGCTCTATGACCTGGTCATCCACACGGTGGCCGACGCCGTCAAGGAACACAGGAAGACCATCACCCAGGTCCAGCCGCAGCTTGGGCCGGGACCGGAACCGCAATTCGTGTGGTTGATGAGCTGCTGTGGGGTGTTTCCGTTCTGCTTTTGTGACAAGGAGGGTGAGGGATCAACCAGGTAAGCGGCCATTTGATTGACAGCAGGCCGCCACAGGCCACCGACGTTGGTACTTTGGATGTGAAGGCCAATAAAATTCTCTACCGTTCCGGATGACGAAACGCCCATTGTTTGTAATGCCATCCATAACTTTTTTGGGGGGATTGTTGGTGCTCAATGTTTATCTCATTTCCAACTGTTGTTTTTTTTTTAAGAATATCTTTTTATTGATGTCAGAGAGGAAGGGAGAGGGAGAGAGAGCTGGGTGCCTCTGACGTCTCCTTTCCTCTCCAGGCGATGCCATGTGGAAGGTTCACTACGTCACCCCCATCTTCCAGCCGCCGGGAGCTCAGGCCTGCTACGAGACCACCTACTGCCAATGTATCGGGGACAACGTCACCTACCATGACCCTCCCCTGCTGTTCGACCTCTCCCAGGACCCCTCGGAGTCCACCCCGCTGACCAAGGACACGGAGCCGCTCTATGACCTGGTCATCCACACGGTGGCCGACGCCGTCAAGGAACACAGGAAGACCATCACCCAGGTCCAGCCGCAGCTTGGGCCGGACCGGAACCGGCAATTCGTGTGGTTGATGAGCTGCTGTGGGGTGTTTCCGTTCTGCTTTTGTGACAAAGAGGGTGAGGGATCAACCAGGCAAGCGGCCATTTGATTGACAGCAGGCCGCCAAAGGCCACCGACGTTGGTCCTTTCGATGTGGGGCCAATAAAATTCTCTACCGTTCCGGATGATGAAACGCCCATTAGTTGTAACGCCATCCATAACTTTTTTGGGGGGATTGTTGGTGCTCAATGTTTATCTCATTTCCAACTGTTGTGTTTTTTTTTAAGAATATATTTTTATTGATTTCAGAGAGGAAGGAAGAGGGAGAGAGAGAAACACCGGCGATTAGAGAGAATCATGGATCGGTTGCCTCCTATGGGATCAGGCCGAAGCTGGCAGTTGGACATCCCCTGAGGGGTCCCGGATTGGAGAGGGTGCAGACCAGGCTGAGGGTCCCCCCTCGTGCACGAATTTCGTGCACTGGGCCTCTAGTATTTATATATTAAAACCCACAACTTTTTAAATGTATACATTTCTTGCGTTTTGGTGAAGATATCATAGGTTGAAACTCCAACCCTTAAAAAGAAATTGGCAAGTGGCAGACGCCCCATTCAACGTATCCCCTTGACTAGATCAAGAAATTCATCCCACCTTCCATTAGCGTCTTAAAGGGAATTCCTTCATAGATGCCCCTGAAACAGTAACGACTTTAGTGGGAAAAATAATTTTCTGGCAGAAATAGCTGAACACAAAAATTTGAGAAAGTCGGACAAGCAGAGAGGGAATCATTCAAGTACATAGGTTATTACCTGAATTTTTAAAAAAATATTTTTTATTGATTTCAGACAGAAGGAGATAGAGAGAGAAAAAGAGAGAGAGAGAGAGAGAGAGAATGTTTATCTCATTTCCAACTGTTGTGTTTTTTTTTAAGAATATATTTTTATTGATTTCAGAGAGGAAGGAAGAGGGAGAGAGAGAAACACCGGCGATTAGAGAGAATCATGGATCGGTTGCCTCCTATGGGATCAGGCCGAAGCTGGCAGTTGGACATCCCCTGAGGGGTCCCGGATTGGAGAGGGTGCAGACCAGGCTGAGGGTCCCCTCTCCCCCGCCCCGAATTTCGTGCACTGGGCCTCTAGTATTTATATATTAAAACCCACAACTTTTTAAATGTATACATTTCTTGCGTTTTGGTGAAGATATCATAGGTTGAAACTCCAACCCTTAAAAAGAAATTGGCAAGTGGCAGACGCCCCATTCAACGTATCCCCTTGACTAGATCAAGAAATTCATCCCACCTTCCATTAGCGTCTTAAAGGGAATTCCTTCATAGATGCCCCTGAAACAGTAACGACTTTAGTGGGAAAAATAATTTTCTGGCAGAAATAGCTGAACACAAAAATTTGAGAAAGTCGGACAAGCAGAGAGGGAATCATTCAAGTACATAGGTTATTACCTGAATTTTTAAAAAAATATTTTTTATTGATTTCAGACAGAAGGAGATAGAGAGAGAAAAAGAGAGAGAGAGAGAGAGAGAGAGAGAGAGAGAGAGAAACATTAATGATGAGAGAGAATCACGGACCGGCTGCCTCCTGCACGCCCCCTACTGGGGATGGAGCCCACAACCCAGGCCTGTGCCCTTGACCGGGAATCGAACCGTGACCTCCTGGTTCATGGGTCGACGCTCAATCACTGAGCCACACCGGCCCGGGCCATCTGAATTTTTCTCAACAATAATACATGAATCACCATTCGTATTTATGTCTTAACTAGAGGCCCGGTGCACGAAATCCGTGCACTGGGGCGGGGGTTCCCTCAGCCCGCCCTGCACCCCCTTTCGCAGTCTGGGACTCCTTGGGGCAAGCCGAAAGTCAGGCATCCCTTTTGCAGTCTGGGGCTCTCGCAGTCTAGGACCCCTCACTTCTTACTGCCCCCCAGAAGCTGGGCTTGCTGCTCCTTAGCACTGCCAAGAGGGCCCCACCACCGCCACCGCGCTCACCAGCAGTGGGCCGGGCTTCTGGCTGAGCGGTACTCGCCCTGTTCGAGCGCACTGACCACCAAATTTTCTGGCAGAAATAGCTGAACATAAAAATTTGAGAAAGTCAGACAAGCAGAGAGGGAATCATTCAAGTACATAGGTTATTACCTGAATTTTTTAAAATATATTTTTTATTGATTTCAGACAGAAGGAGATAGAGAGAGAAAAAGAGAGAGAGAGAGAGAGAGAGAGAGAGAGAGAGAGAAACATTAATGATGAGAGAGAATCACGGACCGGCTGCCTCCTGCACGCCCCCTACTGGGGATGGAGCCCACAACCCAGGCCTGTGCCCTTGACCGGGAATCGAACCGTGACCTCCTGGTTCATGGGTCGACGCTCAATCACTGAGCCACACCGGCCCGGGCCATCTGAATTTTTCTCAACAATAATACATGAATCACCATTCGTATTTATGTCTTAACTAGAGGCCCGGTGCACGAAATCCGTGCACTGGGGCGGGGGTTCCCTCAGCCCGCCCTGCACCCCCTTTCGCAGTCTGGGACTCCTTGGGGCAAGCCGAAAGTCAGGCATCCCTTTTGCAGTCTGGGGCTCTCGCAGTCTAGGACCCCTCACTTCTTACTGCCCCCCAGAAGCTGGGCTTGCTGCTCCTTAGCACTGCCAAGAGGGCCCCACCACCGCCACCGCGCTCACCAGCAGTGGGCCGGGCTTCTGGCTGAGCGGTACTCGCCCTGTTCGAGCGCACTGACCACCAGGGGGCAGCTCCTGCGTGGAGCGTCTGCCCCTGGTGGTCAGTGTCTATCATAGCGACCGGTTGTTCTGGACGTTCCACTGTAATGGTTGCTTAGGCTTTTATTATATAGGCTAGACGACTGGTGCATGAAATTCGTGCATGGGGGGGGGGTGACCCTCAGCCCGGCCTGCATCCTCTCACAATCCAGGACCCCTGGCTCCTAACCACTCGCCTGCCTGAT